TCCTAACTCACGTTTTTGGACAGATCTTGAAATACCGCAATGGCCGCGTCACTACTGTGGCGATACCTTAGCTCCATCACGGATGACAGCGGAGTCTGCAGAGGCGTAGGATTCGTGAAGGCGATATTGCAGCGGCAAAGAGGTAACTCGAGTTGGATTTCAACCTAGCAGTAACTCGATGAACGTTTTTTCGAAAGGTATTCCTTTTTTTTTTTAATTTTTTTAGAAACTAAAGTAAATGAAATTACTTTTAATAATAATATAATATTATATTTCTTTCAACGGGTTTAATAAGCTTCGATTAAAAGTAAAATAATACTTATAAAAAGTTTTTTAACATTTTTCAAAGGGTTTTTAATCTTCTTCGATAAAAAGAAGTTGGTATTTTTTTTTAAATAAAACCTTTTTCAAAGGTTTCAAGCCACCTTTAGTGGAAGAAGTTAATAATTTCATAGCTTTTTCGAAGGTTTTCTCAAAACCTTCGATAAAATATCATATATTTTTTTTAAAAGCTTCAAATATTTGTCTGTGTTGTTTTTTTTTTAAGGTTTTCAATAACCTTCGATAAACGATAATACAATTTTCAAAGTTTTGATAAATTTGGATCTTTTTCAAAGGTTTTTTATAACCTTTGGAAAAAAATGCATAATTTTCAAAGATTTTCTAAAAACCTTCGATAAAATATCATATATTTTTCAAAGGTTTAAAATATTTGTTGATAAATGTATTGTTTTTCAAAGGTTTTCATTGACCTTTATAAAATAGTGGATAATTTTTGAAGGTCTTCATAATACCTTCAATAAAGGTTAACCTTTTTTGAAGCTTTTTAATAACCTTTGAAAAATGTACATAATTTTCGAAGGTTTTCTATAAACCTACGATAAAATATCATATATTTTTCAAAGGCTTTAAATATTTGTCGATAAATATATTGTTTTTCAAAGGTTTTCAATAACCTTTGATAAAAGGTGGTCGAAAGAGCTCAATCTTCTTGTAGTGTAAGTAGCTCAAATAAAGACGGTGATACAGCCTGGTTGCTGGAGATGCAGGGGAATTCCAGGACAATTAGGGCCAAATTCGGATTCCAAATTCTAGTATGAATCTTGGGCCTGGGGTGTTACAATTCCATTAAAATCGCCTCTTATAATCCACGACAAATTAGCTACTCAATCGAGACGTTCCATCAACTTCCAGGAATCTGTCGAACGATTTATGTTTCCTTTGTGCAAGTGTACACAACCGTTGTAGCAAGTAATAAAAGATCGAACCCACAAGGATTGATAACTAAACACTTCAACTATTACTTAAGAGAACAAAACAAAATTAACAAATATTTTTTGGATAAGAAAAACCAAAGGAACTCAAACAAAATAATGCATACATGATTTGCTTGGTAAAAATAAGGCAGAACCAAGCAGAACTAAATCGATTAAAGAAAAGTGTGAAATTAAGAGGTTAACTATTAATATTTAAAAGGGTAGGGGGAAGAGTTTATGTGACCTTTTCTGGCTACGTATACAATGCTACAACATTAATGATGTTGATATACACTGGCCAAACAGACATGGAGTCTTCCTAGAAATTCCCAGATTTTCTGCTATTAAGGTTTTATACAAACTCGACCGCATATTAGTTCAGTTTATAACCTTACTAGGTGAGCCCTATTCCTAAGTACCCCCATTCTAACTCAAATAGATATAGCATGAGTTGAAGCCAAACACTCCCTATTACAATTTTCCAAGAGTTAATAAAAAGATATCCCAACATGTTGATCAAGCACATTGAAAATAGACTATTAAGAGCAACTTCAACTCAATACTCTTCATCATTAACATAAGTAGCACAGTTTACAGCCCAAGAAAAGAATTCACAACATATTCCCTCTCACAATGGGGTTTAGCTACGCATTGCCATAAAAAGAAAGAAGAAGATCAACAAGAGTGAACACAATACAAACTGGAACAAAAGAAGAGAGGAGCTGAAGGATTCAGCTCCAAATGGATTATCTGCTCTTTGTCCGTCGAAGCTTCAGTGAATCTCCGTCTTCTCTTGTCCTCTTCGAGCACCTTGGGAGTTTTCTTGAAGTGAGAGTGAAGTGATTGGCAAAAAGTGTCTTGGAGGCTTCCTTAAATGTGAGTATTTATACCCCCTTTGTTTTTAGGGCAACAAACAGATAAAGTGGACCCCCAGCTCTCACTTCGAGGCGATTCTCCGAATTACGGGAAATTTGAATTTGTGACCCCTTCAATAACTGAAACTGGATAAATGACCCCATTTTTAAAAAACCTAATTTGTGACCCCTCCACCCCTTATTTATGATCCCTTAAATATTTTATTCATGGGAAAAGACCAATTTACCCTCATGGTTAATAAATGTGCATTTATGATTTCCACCTAACCATTTCACCAAACTGTAAACCCATATTTTACATATGTTTGAACTTGTTAATATTATAGATTATGTATAACTCATAGATCACGTTTTCAAAATCTGCTCAACTACGTACGTGTTTGATCTTTCTTTGTCCCCACACTATCCAAAATCATTGTCCCCACAATTTCACTTGAGGTATGTTACCTTTACACAAACTTTTGTACTCTATAATTGTTGAACTTTTTTGAAATATTTTCCCATTAATAGGTTCAACTACTAGATTTGGCTGTTGACAAAAAAAAAATTAGATTGTTGCAATTACTTCAATCCCGGATCTATACCTGG